GGAGGAGGAGGAGGAGGAGGAGGAGGAGGATGATCTGAAACTTGGGGCCACACATTGGCAACCTCTTTATTCTGATTGTTCCCAGGGGCACAGCAGTGAGAGTGGGACCTATTTATAGCCCTAAGTCTAGACATGAGAAGGAGGCAAAAGGAAGGGAAGAAGTGAGGGGGTAGTGGAGAGGGAGAGGAAGGAGAAAATCCAGAGCAGGGACTGGCCCCACATCACCATCACGCAGCCTGATGGCCCTCTGGGGCGCGTGGCCGGTCCAGCTCATACCAGCAAGTGCTGAGTGAGCTCAAGTGTGGATTCCCCCTCCACATCCTCCCCTCCATCCCAGGAGGCGAGCGTCACTGTCATTTTACTGGAGAGGATGCTGAGATTCCCGGGTCTGGCAGGAAATAAGAATGGTGACCAGGTTCAAACCCAGGTCTGATTTTCCTGGAGGGGGCTTGCTCCTAGCCTCACTGAGGTGCTGAAAGGATGGGAGCCTCAGGGCTCAGAAGATTCATACACACTCCCTACATATTTTTTGGCACAAGCACCCTGACTCCCCACTCCCTGCCTCAGGACCCATGTGCCTCTGCAGGACCCAGTAACTATAAAGGGTAAAGGGAGCCTCTAGACTACACCAAACGCCCATTCTGGTGGGTGGTCAATGCGGGGGCCACTGCTCTGATGCTGTGTGTGCCGACACATGAATCATGTGCCTCTCTGCTCCTGTCCAGGTGTGTGTGCGTCAAACACACACACGAGTATGTGTATGTCCATTGTGTGTATGTGCGCGTGTGCATGTGCATGCACACGCACTTGCATGCAGACCCCTACCCAAACAGCATTGCCAGGAAGGCAAGACCCCTGCTGGGGCACTCCATGGGCACTGTTTTGGGGACACCAGTGCCCTCTCCACTCATGGGGTCTGCCTTTCATCATCTTCTTCCTCAGCATCCCCAGGGCTAGCGTGCTGAGCGGTTTTTCAGGTGTTGGAGGTGTAGGGCACCTCACCCGGCCCTCACAGGAGCCCACGGAGTAGGAGAACAGATGGTGGTAAGCTCAGTGCCTCTGGCGCCCCTGAGAGTGCCAGGCAAGAAGGTGCCCCCTGCCAGGGATGATGGCAGGAAGGTGGGGCTGAGGACTGGCAGCAATCAGGAACCTAGTGTCCCTGGGACCACCAGAGGCCATTGGGCTTCTGCTGGCCAGCAATATCTATGCAGGTGTCCAGGTCTGAGTTACAGGTGGAGGCCAGTGGTTGGGCATCAGGAGATCCTTAGGAATCAGCGCAGGGACCACTCAACTGCTGGCACCAGCCATGACTGAGGTGAGGCCAGTCCAGGGTCCATGATCTTGCCAGAACAGTGCCAGCAAGGAGGGACTCAGGTAGCCTCGGGGCTACAGTGTAGATCGGGGTCTAGGGGCCAAGCCAGACTGTCAGTCTTTTTTTTTTTTTTTTTTGCTTGAGAAAGCAATAGTTTCCCTCAACAGGAAACATGTTTCCATCAAGTGCGGCATCCGTCCCCTTTCCCTGGGGCCCGTGTCCTGCTGTAGAGCCACCCCTTGGTGAGCAGACTCTCCCACCGCCTCTCTCTCTCTGACCTGTTTGCAGAGCTCTGGAACTCAGCAGCGGCAAGGATGAGATCTCCCTGTTGGTGGAGCAGGAGTTCTTGAGTCTCACCAAAGAGCACCTCATCCTGGTCAAAGAGAGCTCAGGGGACCTGGCAGCCCCTAGAGGCATTCCCCAAGGGACCAGAGAACCAGTTCCTTGTATTCTCGCACCTCCTTTGGTGGCTGGTAGCAGTGAGCGCCCTGGAGCCTCCATCATTGCTGGTGACAACCTGCGGGAGCAGAAGGTGGCCGTGTCTGTGATTGGCAGCCGGCAGGACTGCGATTCTGCCCTGTCCACGGTGACAGGCATCTTGCGTGCTGCCAAGATCAAAGGGACTGAGGATGGGGGCCACAGCCTGGGTGCCTCCAACTCAGAGATCAGCAAGCTCCTGGCCCAGTTTCCACTGAAGTCCACGGAGATGTCCAAGACCCCCGACAACAAGATGGTGCTGGAGGAGGCAAGGGTCATCAAGGACTTCCTGCAGAACAGCATGTTCAGTGGCTCTGGGAGCTTCAGGGAGCCTGCAGGGCTGGGCCCATTCCTGCTGCTGCCACCCCCACCTCCTCCTGCACCCCCCGACAAACTCTTGGAGCTCCCTGCTCAGAAGAGGCAGCTCCCCGTGTTTGCTAAGATCTGCTCCAAGGCCGAGTCTGACCCCACCCTGGAGGGGCACCACTCGATGGGTGAGTGGGGCTGGGATCAGGGGTACAGAGTGGGCCTGCGTGGAGGCGGCCTCCTAGGAAGCCGTCAGGGCCACAGCACACACATAAAAAGCATCATTGGGTGAAGCAGGACAAAGCAGCCTCTCTGGTGGGCACAGGCTCCCAGGTGCAGGCTGCTCTCAGTCCCTGCAGGCCTGCTCTGCTAGATGCCCGTGTGTGAGCAAATGCAGAGCCCCTGATCCAGATCACTTTGGGAAGAGGGATCAGTACCATGTATGTAGTACCTGGCTCCATTTTTGACTCCCCCAGGAAGAAAGTATTTACCCTAGCTGGGTCCATGGTGAGGCTGAGGCTGCCTCATGGAGATGGCTGGAGAGGAATTTGATTGGCAGCTGGGGTCACTTAGCTTGGGATGGAGGCACCTGTTCTGGCCCTTAGGTCTAGTTCTCACTCTCCCTGGGGCAGAAAGTGGATGCATAAGTTCTCATGGCTCAGCCTGTTGGCCCTGGGATCTGCTACCTAGACACTTCTCACATTTCCCTCTCCCCTTAGGTTCTGTCTTTTGTCCTGATCTAGCCATTCAGAGTAGTTGGTTCCAAGAAGACAGACTGATGGCAGAAGCATTTGCCCACATTGAGCAGTTACCAGGGAATATATCATATTCATGCCAACCAAAGAAGAATCACCCCCAGTCTGTCAGCATGGGGAGATAACAGAGATGCCCATATCACGAGGGCCCACATTCATCTCCCTGAGAGAATAAGAACACAATCACCCTTGAGAACATTCTGTATTCTGAGCACTGTCTGGAGTCCAGAACAATGGAGCCAGGGATCACCAGCTGGATTCAGTGTTGGGAAGGCCTGGGAGAGCCAGAGAGCTTTGAGATGATGGGCTTTGGGGGTTGTGGGGCGGGGAAGGGTTGAGCTCTTGGCAGGGGGAAGGGCCTTCCTCCCCCTCCTTCTGGAATCACCCATGGATGCATTCTTACCAGATGGGGCTGTGGGATTGGAAGTGGTCCTGGCCACCCACCCTCCTGACCATTTGTGCCTGCGTGTACAAATATATGGGCAAAATTGTGCCAAAGAGAGCTTTGCCAGTGTAGGTGTGTTTGTCAGAGAAAAATGCAGAGGGGGTGAATCTGTTTGTGTCTGTGTGTACGTGTCGACATATGTGTCTGTCCTGTGTATAGTTGTGTACATGCGGGAGAGGCAGAGGAGAAACAGGCAGGGACGTGAGCATTGTGTGTACCCAGGTCTCGGAGGAGGGGCCCTCGTAGGTGTGTGTGGGGCTGCAGGTGTGTGTTTTCTCTGAGGAAAGGGCTATTATTAGTGGGTGTGTTATTTCAGCAAACTAGCTGGTGGCAGAACAGCAAGAAGAGAAACTCTTAGAAGAGACTCTGGGCATGCATTTTACGAAAAACAACACTGGCTTCCAAACTGGCCCAGGCTGGAGCAGCTCTCCTCTGCTGGGACAGTTCTGGGAAGGCAGACGCAGTTGGGTGCATGCTCAGCCCTCAAGGTCACTGGGTTGGAGGTCCTAGAACTGGTGGGATCAGGTCCACTTCTGATCCCTCTGTGACCAGAGTCCCCAGGTGCCTGCAGTGTGTCCAGCACGGAGCATTGCCATCTAGTCGGCAGGCGGAAGTTTCCATGCCAATCTCTGGGGAGCTTCAGATACCATCAGATGGTGGAAGGAATGAAGGGGCTGGCAGGAAAAGACCCTCTTCCCTACTTCAACCAGAGCAGTGCTTTAAAAAACATATGATCATCATCATAAATATATGTATATGTATGTATATACAGTTGTCCCTCCAAATGTTGGTTTCAGGGCTCTCTTTAGATGCCCAAATCCACAGATGCTCAAGTTCCTCATTTAAAATGGCATCTAACTCGTGCACACCCTCCTACCTACTCCACACCATCTTTAGAGGATCTACGATACCTAATAGGATATAAATGTCAGCTATTCTGTTGCTCTACTGTGCTGTTTAGGAATCATTGACCAAAAAAAAAAAAAAAAAAAAAAGTCTGCCCATGTTCAGTACAGATACAATTTTTTAAACATTTTTTTTTTAGTTATAGATGGACACAATCTTTGTTTCATCTATTTATTTTTTTGTGGTGCTGAGGATTGAACCCAGTGCCTCACGTATGTGAGGAAAGCGCTCTGCCACTGAGCTACAACCCCAGCCCCAGATACATTTTTTTTTTTAGAGCATTTTCCATCACTGTTCCACACACATGCATTTAATTTCATTTGAAGAAAGAGTTGCAAGGCTAAAAGGATATGGGGGGGTGAGAGCGCGGTGGGGGGCCCCCCACTGTGGTGCAGACAGTCCTTGCACTGGGGGATGGATGCTTGGTCTATTTGGAGCGAGTCCTGAGTCCTTCGTCTGGCTCTGACTGTGTCCTTCCTGCATCTCTTTGATGCTTCCCAGTCTCTGTCCATAGTCACCCGGGACTGTCACACCCTCCTCTCAGCTACCCCTGCATGCAAAGCCTAGCTGCACCCCACTTCCTTCTGGGAATAAAAAGGACCCTCTCAGATAGAAGTGATGTCAGCCACCGTCTTCTCCCGTTGTGTACTTCTGTCACCTCGTGGTGCCCATCTGCCTTGTCCTGGAGCTATTCTGGGCATGTCTCTCTCTTCTTCCTTGTTGTGAGCTCCTGCAGGGCAGAGTCTGGCTCTGACTCATCCCTGTGTCCCCAGTACTCAGGGCAGGGCCTGGCACTGACAGGAGAGCCGAGCTGCCTGTGAGCAACACAGCCGAGGTGGAGTCCATGGTGAGGGAGCAAACCGTGGGGCTCAGACCGCGTGTCCTGCAGGGACGCGTGTCTTCCCCCCCCCCAAGCTGTGCACCCCCCGATGGCGAAACTGAGTCCAAGTCATCCTTATATCCCCCCGACTGGCACTGTGGAAGGAAGGAAGGAGGGAAGGTGAGGATGGATGGATGGATGGATGGATGGATGGATGGACAGACATCTGGATCATGAGACAGGAAGGCCAGAAGGGGCAGTGGTCAGGGAAGGCCTGAGAGAGAGACTATGGTTCCATTAGGCTGAGGGAGAGTCTGCAGGCTCGGGTGAGTACTATGGAAGACCCGTCACCTGGTTCATAAGAAGATGCTCCCTGCATCTAGCACTTGGTACCCCGGGAGCATTAACTCCGTTTCTCTCCTGCTCCAGAACGGAATCCTGGCAGCAAGGAGCTGGCCAAGGGTCGAGAGAGCCTCTTCCTCAGCCAGTGGCCCCAGAGTCGGAAGGACAGCTGCAATGAGGAGGGTTGCATTGACCCAGTGGGCACCATGTCCACCAAGAAGCCTGCATGGCCGGCCGAGAAGAACCTGCTTTACGAGTTCCTCGGTGCCACCAAGAACCCGAGCGGGCAGCTGAGGCTTCGCAGCAAAGTGGAGGTGGATGGGCTGGAGCTGAAACGTAAGCTGACCTAGCCAGCAAGGGCCCCAAGGGAGGGACCCCAGAGACCTCTCAGACCCAGGCGTGGCTCTGTCTTAACCAGGGCCAGTCACTGCCTTTCCTTGACGTCAGGATTTTTAAATTGTAGAACCCGGGAAATGGCTTTTTCCATATGTTCCTTGTGGGAAATAAAATTAAAGAGATAGGTAGTTGGCTTCCAGGGGTCACGTGGACATTTTCAGTGGTTGATTTTGAATACAGCCCTAACCCAGAGTTATACCCTAGCTTCTCAAAATGCCCAAGCCAAGGGGGAAAAAAAAAATCCCTGCTTTCAATCACTTTCACGTGGATATATTTCAAGTCCCTGCTCTCTCTTCTTGCTCCTCTCCAGTCGTTTCAGTCAAAAACTCCTTTCTAAAAATGATGCCAGATGGAGGGGAAACCAAGGGCCCATTTCTGATCCCATAAGCCCCCCGGGACACAGATGTTTCTCAGGAAGCAATTCATATCCAGAAAACTCATTCTTCTAGACTAATTTAGAGCCACTCACATCGAATTATCCTGTTTTAAAATATTTTAAAAGTCATTCCCAGATAGACACAATACCCACCCGAGATATAGTCCCTGCTGAGTGCATGGGCCTGGTGGGGGGCTGTGTGAAGGGTTTGATCCGAATGAATTCCAGTGACATAGCACTTGTTTGCATGACATAGCTATATTTTTCTAAAGCACCTGGAAGAATTTGCTTTTTAAGTTGGGGACATATAGCAATGCGGGTTGCTGTATCCCTTGCTAAACCGCCCACCCCCCTGACTAGCCAATGATGGAAAGAGAAGCTCCAAGCCAGACCCTGCTGGGGTCCCCTTCAGATGGGCAAGGTGTGAACTGATGATGTTTTTTTTCCTGTGGTTGGAAATTCACCAGGACTTTGAAGGACCCTCTTGGAGCTTTAAAGCCCCTGGCCTCTGAGAATCTCTGGGGAGGGGAAGAGACCCAAGGCCTCCTGGCCTCTCCCTGCCTCAAACACTGAAGGGCTTTATGTCTCCTGTGACTTGCAGTTAACCCTCCGGTAACAGTGGCCGACAAGAACAACCTGAAGTACACGGGGAACGTTTTCACCCCACGCTTTGCCACAGCCTTGACCTCCACGACAGTGAACCAGCCTTTCTGGCTCAACCTGAACTGCCCGCCTCCACCGGTGTTCACCAATCACTCCACCTTCCCGCAGTATCAGGTGAGTGGGGGGGCTGGGGGCTGGGCACCCCACCTGCAAACCACACCATGACGGGGTGTGGCTTGCAGGGAGCCTATCTCACAAAGAATCCTTGGGCGCCATTTCCTTACCCCAGAGGCTCCCAGGGAATGACAACAGGACACTCTCAACTTGTTACCTCGTCTGTTGCTATTTTTTTTTTTTTTAAAGAGAGAGTGAGAGAGCGGGGGGGGGGGGAGAGAGAGAGAGAGAGAGAGAGAGAGAGAGAGAGAGAGAGAATTTTTTTTTAATATTTATTTTTTAGCTCTCGGCGGACACAACATCTTTGTTGGTATGTGGTGCTGAGGATCGAACCCGGGCCGCACACATGCCAGGCGAGCGCGCTACCGCTTGAGCCACATCCCCAGCCCCATGTTGCTATTTTTGTTGTGACCAGATCACTTGCTACACACACACACACACACACACACACACACACTCACACACACACACACACTTCACACCACGCTGATTACTCCAGAGCCCCTTGCCAGTCTTGGCTGGTTAAGTGCTTGGTCCCCCAGAACAGGAGGATGGCATAGTCCTTATTTCCCACCCACCTCCTGCGACTCAGATGGCCTTCATCTTGGATGACTTGCGACCATCTCAGCTTAGGCATTTGGTCCCAGAATGATTACTAATGACATCCCCGTTCACTCCCCAGTGTTGTGGTTTGGAGGTCAGATGGTGACCATCTCATTTAAACTGTATCTGAGCAGCCTTTGCTTGTACCAGCCGAGGTGCCTGGACATGCATTCTTGGTCTTAGGCTCCGCGTTAAGAAGGAATTAGTGACCAGAAAGAAAGGAAAGGTCGAAGCACTTATAGCAGGGTTTGAAATTTCACTCACAGAACTTATTTATGCAGGGAAAATGTAGTTTCTTTATTTTGTCCATTTAACTTAATATCCCTTAAGAGCTGCAGCCCACTCAGTAGAAGGAGGGAAGAATCAAATAAATGTCCACTCTAGTTTAAGACTTTGTCCAATCCAATAACTGAAACAGTCCCTCTAGGTAGTGCTCAGGTGTTTGTTTTTTTTTTCTTCCCCCCAGGAAAGATGCTCAGCATTTAAGGTTTCTGTCTTCAGTTCCCCTTCCTCGTTCCTCTCCAGAGTGGCACGTAGTTGTGTGGGGAGGTGCAGGTCCTTGGGGTTCGATGTCCAGGAGTATGGCCATCTGCTGTACCCTCCTGGCCCAGCAAAGCCTGGAAAGGGAAAAGAGGAAAAGCACAAGGAAATACACTCGTATTCAGTTTATTTTCCTCCACATCCCTTCCCCTCTCACCACCCCCTTGGCCCCTGAGCCATTTCTTTCTTTGCAAGAGAGCTCCAACCTTGAGGCTTAGATGTCCAGGGCAGAAGCAGGTCTCTTCCACTCTAGGTCTCTTCCACCGAGCTGGCCCACCAGGCTTAGCTCCTGGATCCTAAAGGGTTCTGTTTCTCTGTTCCTCTGTTTTGTTTTTAAGCTTGTCTGTTTGCTAAAGAGAACAAGTGGCCACGGAGAGGCCAGGGCTTGCAGCGCAGGGTGATCTAAGGGGAGATGAAAGCCAGCCCGTCCCCCATCAGCCACGCTGTCTTTACACAGGTCCTGAGAGAAACGTGTCGCTCCTTGATTCACTGACTCCTTCACCAGTGTTCTTCTACCCTTGCATTTGAGGCTTGCTTATTCATGGTTTATTTATTTCACTATTTAGTGATTTACCCATTGCTATTTACTCATGCACTTAAGGAATTTTAAAAAACCTTTGCTCCACGCTTTTATAAGCAGAGTGTTTTGGGCTAGGTGAGAGGACTCAAAGATGACCAAGAAGTACATCACAGACCAGCCGACGCCCCTCCACCTCCGAGGGAGGAACAGTCGCAGGGTTGTAGGTGGTGCGCACACATCCACTCTCAGACGCGCCCGGGGAGCGCACCGTGGAAAGCTAATTTGCAATGGTTGGCTGTGCTATAAGTCTAGGTGGCATCACTCTGCGGTGTTGATTTCTTCCGCTTTGACTCTTTCGGAGTGAGCGAGAAATGGACATACTGTCTGAGCATGACGTTCCCCTGTCTTCAGAGAAGAGGCAGAGGTTTGCATTGCAGGGTTTACTCTGACAAGGTTCCCCAGCTTCTGGGCAGGAGCAGTGGAAGGGGTCCTCTGGCTCGGAGGACCCGCTGGGTTCCGTGAGGCAGTTCACAGCTGAAGGGGGCCATGCAAAGAGTTGACCCTCCCAGGAAGTAACAACAGACAGCATAATTTACCTTCTGGCAGCTTCTCAAGATCTCATAATGCTGTGTTAGCTTCAAAACAGCTGATCAAGGGGTCCGAGAGGATAGAAGGCAGATTTCAAAATTGGTAGATTTGGATGGAACGATCCTGCTGCTTCCAAACTGTGTGGCCGTGGGCAGGTTAATTAGCTGCTCTGAGTCCCAGGTTCTTCCTTTGTGAGATGGGTTCATCGTCATCATAGCAACAGCAGCAGAAGCAGCACAGATTGATCTGGGGTAAGGATTGAGCCCAGGGATGGGAACAGGCCGTAAAAGCTGAAGTGGGAGATGGAGTGGATTTTGATGTCGTCATTACTTAGCCCTGATCTTCCAAGAAAAATGGGGTCGGGGGTCTCCACAATCCTTGAAGTGGCAGAAGATGACAAATGGGGTCTACTCTCTTGCGGCTTCTTCCCCACGTGGGATCAGGAATAAATCCAGTTTACTCAGAGCTCCTTGGTAGAGGGACCAGAGGTGAGGAGGAGGAAGGTCTCGTGCATAGAGGAGGCCCAGCGGCTCCCCAGGGAACTTTGTATAAAAGAACTCTGCACCCGATGATGAAGAGGGAGGCTGGGTAGCAGAAGGCCACAGCCTCAAGCAAACAAGAGTGAATGTCTGTTTATCCCAGCCCAAGTTTACAAAATTGCAATTGTAGACGTGCTGTTCTGGAAGTCAGATGGTGTTGCTTATCCCGTTGACTGTGGCCCTTGTGTCCTGAAGTCAAGGATCGGGTGGGGGCAGCTGCCCTCCTCTGCAGGTCCTGGGGCCGAGGTGGGTGGGATGGAGGTGGCCACCTGTCCTCTGCTGGGCAAGGTGGCTGTGGAAGGCAGGGTTAAGTGCTAAAGGGGTCCATGGGGGAGGGGTGAGACAGGGGAGGGACACTCAGCCACCTGCTCAGTGGCCTTGCAGCAGCAGACTGAGGGCTGGGAATGGGCGAGGCCACTGGCTCTGCATGACTTCTTTGTCCAGGCTCAGGACAAGGTGGGTGTCACGGGGACCCCATTGGGTCATAAAGGTCAGGCTGCTAGCTTCAGGGCTTGGAGTGCAGGGGAGAGGGAGGGAGCTGGTTTGTGGTGAAGGGCTGGCTGGTGGAGTAGAAGAGATCACTGCAGGAATGCGCCTTGTTCTTGGGGAACAGAGAGTGGGGCGGGGCTCTGGGAGCACCTGTTCTCCTGGGGACCTAGCAGGTGGGGCAGCAGGAGCTGAGGGACGCGCCCCTGAACCAGGTCAGGGGTTCCGCAGCTTTTCATGAGGAGCTTGGGAAAGTCAAGGGCAGAGTTTTGCCCCACCCCTTTGGTATCTGGCACAAACCGAGCCCAGAATGGAGGCAGCATCTCAAGAGTGCAGAGGCTGGGGGGGCAGGTCCTGACTGGGAGGGGCTTTGGGCTTTGAGCCTTGTGGGGGGGTAGGTAAGGTGGGTGTAGACAGAACCTGAGACTGGAGGGCTATGGGCTGCATGCTTAGTGTGTGTGTGTGTGTATCTTAGTGTGTGTGTGTGTATCTTGTGCACCCACACCCTGACAGAATTGTGAATAAAATTTTCATAAGCTGCCAGAGAGCCTTTTCAAGGGAGGGGTCAGTGGGAGATGATGGACAGACCTAACATTTACCAAGTCCTTACTAAGTGCTGGGCACTGTTCTCAGCTCTTTAGATGCATTAATTCATTTATTCCCACACTAATCCCCCGCCCACACACACACATACTCACACTCACATGGATGTACCTGGATATCTCGTGTGTTAGGGCAGGAATGGGGCCTGGGGAAAGCACTTAGCAAAGGTGTGCAGACAGCAACAGAGAACGTGGCTTTCTTCATGGGCTTTGCAGGCCCGAACACACATAATTCTGCAGACAAGGAAAAAGGCTCAGAGAGGCCAAGTAGCTTGCCCCCAGTCACAGAGCCACTGCAGGGCAGATCTGGGATTCAGGAGGCAGTTTGAACACTATGAAGACTGCCTAAGTGGGGCTTCCCAGCAGCATGACTTGGGCTCATCTTGGCCTAAATCTAGGTGGCCTCAGGCAGTGACAGGTGCAGTGTGATGGGCTAGTTCACTTCTGTCTGCAGGTGCAGGTGTGGGAGCCAGGCATGGCTGCAGCCCTTGCCCAGAAATGCCAATCCATTCTCTTCCTGTCTCCCCAGGGCCTGCACCCCCAGCGCTCAGCCAGGACGCCCTATCAGCAGCCTGTGCACCCCCAGCTGGGGTGTTACTCCCGACAGGTGAGTATGAGTATGGATGAGCCCATGGGCACTTAACCACTAAGCCACATCCCAGCCCTCTTTTTTTTTTTTTTTTGTTTAATTTTGAGACAGCTTCTCACTAAGTTGCTCAAGCTGGTCTTGAACTTGCGACCTTCCTGCCTCAGCCTCCAGAGTCACTGGAGTTACAGACATCAATTCTGAATGTTGATTTCTCATTCTGGAGTTGACGGGTTGGCTGAACTGGGCTGTGGATCAGGTTCAGTCCTGTTCCTTGCATTCGTCCTTTGGGTGTGGGCTGAAGCTGCAGGAGTTGTTGCTCATCCTGTGTTAGGTGGCAGGAGCACAGGAGGTGTAGAGCTGGTGCGTGGTGACTGCCACCCACCTTCCACTGGCCAAAGCCCATCACACAATCTGCCCTGCATCAGTGGTGGGGAGTCCCATCCCTGCTGGGTAGGCTTGACCGTTAAGATACAGGACACCCAGTGAAATTTGAATTTCAGATAAGCAATGAATATGTTTTAGGCATGTCCTATGCTTATGCTAAAAACTTATTCATTGTTTACCTGAAATTCAAATTTCACTGGGTGTCCTGCAGTCTTATTGGCTAAAGCTGGCAAGGTTATTTCCACAGATAGGCTGGGATGAATACCTGTCGGACAATCACAGAGTGGCAGAATTAGGGCTTGACCTCTGCAGTCCCAGGTGCCCAGTCACCTGCCTTAGCGCCTCTTGTATACAGATACACAGAGACAGGGACAGCAATGCAAACACTCACCAGAGCAGGTATACTTACAGATACAGGTGTACATACGCCCCCAGGCTGCCTGAGTGTACGTGCATGCAGGTGCACACACAGATGGTCTTGGGGCAGAGGTAGGAGTGTGAGGAAAGGTGCTGAGGATGAGGGTGTAGAGGGCACCAGAGTCCAGCCTGCTACAGGGCCTGGCACCTCACATTCAGATGGGCATCCCACACCCAACTCCAGATTCTTCTGCCTCTCCTTCCTCCTCAAAGATCCCTCTACTTTCTCTGCAAACTACACCTCTGACTTGGAATATTCTAGAATGTTCTGGAAGGTAGAGAAGTATTCATGAGTGTAGGGCACTTTATTCCTTGGGTCAGGACTGCTCTGTCAGCAGTAGGAGCCCTTTGCATCCTGAGATGAAGCAGGGATGAGAGAGACCCCCTTCGGGAATTCCCGGTCCATCACCTCCACCTTAGCAACAGTGACATCTCCCACGGGGTTCCAGTCCTTGTGGACAATTGTACCCATGTGTGTATATGCCTGTGTATATTTGAGAAAAGTAATATAAAACATGGTAAAAAAGAATTTAAACACCTAGAGGCAATCCTTGCTTATGTGTCTTTCCAGTGACATCTATTTATATAAACATTTTTATACAAATGTGGCATTCAGGGCACACTGATCTGTTGCTTTTGTCAGTGAGGGGTATATTTAGAGATGGTTCCAGAGAAACATACAAAGCCCTGTTTGATGGCTTTGATTGGTTCTGTGGGATCCTGGGTACATTTCTGCACACAGCATGCGTGTGCCCTGGGACCAGCTTCATCCCTTCATCTCTTCCAGGCTCAGGGCCTTCCCCTGCCATGAAGACCAGAGGTATCTCCTTCCGTGTGCCCCACAGGGTCTGCCTGAGAGGTGCTCTCCTGAGCTCTTTCTGGAAGCTCCTGGCATGCTGGTCCTTTGGGGTTCTGGTGCCTGTGTCTGTACCAGACCTTGAATCTCAGGATGATGGCAAGGACCAGGGCAGGAGCTCTGCCTCTGGAGAGAACATAGCAGAACAATGTTGGAGGAGGGCACAGGCTCTGGGCTCTCCCTGCTGGGGTTCTGACCCCAGCTCAGAACTGGGAGACATTCACTGAGCAAGTCACTTCACTTCTCTGAACCTCAGCAGTTTCCTCATCTCCAAAATGGGAATGATCATGGCTGCCTCCCAGGGCTGGATGCAGGGCCCACACATCCCAGGAACTCAGTGAGCGTCAGCCTAGTGGGTGTTTATCAGACAAAGGCATGCAGGGCAAGAGAGGGCTGTCCCGGGCACTGGGACTCAGGCCTTCCTGTTGAAGTGGAAATCAAGAAGCTTCCCCAGTCTTGGCTGAAAGTCCCCTTAGCACACAGGGGTCAGATGAGCACACAGCTTCAGAAGAGAAAAGGTTCTCTCCCATTTGAAGCTGTGAGTAGAGAACAGAGGGCTCAGGATGGGGTGGGTTCCCACCACTTCACGTGAGCAGATGCTTAGTGGTCCCCCTTTCCACCTCCCCAGTCCCCTGTTTGTTGCATTCATTTAACATTTTTGTTGTGGGGAGGATACTGGAGACTGAGCCCAGGGTCTCGGCTGCTGAGCTATACCCCAGCTCTTTTTATTTTTTATTTTGAGATGGGGTCTTACTAAGTTGCCCAAGCTGGCCTCCAACTTGTGATTCTCCTGCCTCAGTCTCCTGAGGAGCTGGGATTACAGGCGTGAGCCATTGCACCTGGCTCATTTAGCATGTATTTACTGAGAAGCCACCGTCTAACCCACTCCAAATGGGACAGTGGCAGACACTGTCTTGGAGTTGTAGCAATATCAGCAAGTATGATAAGGATGATCCCTTATTGGGAGCAGGAAAGCTGGAGTTCTGTTGTTGGAGGGAGCTTGTTCCACATAGTCTCAGAAACCCCACTGAGTTCCTGTCTTTCCCTTGGATACAAGCTGAGCCCATTGCCCATTTTTTTTTGCCTTATCTCACATGGACCAATAAGGTAGCCACTAGCTTTGTGTAGCTATTTAAGTTTAAATACATTTAAAATAAAAAAAACTTACTTAAATGAGTTAAAATTTAAAAATTCAAAATTCACCTCCTTGTTCACACCAGGCAGATTTCAAGTGCTCAGTAACCGTGTGTGGCTGGTGATTGCCACAGTGGTCAGCACAGAGAGGGAGCATGCCTGCTATCACCAGTGTGTCCAGTGGGTGGGCTGTCTTGGACTTGCTTTTCTATTGAGATCCTAAGATAGAAGCCAGCATTGTGTACATTCCAAGATTTGAATAAAAAACTTAAAAAATGAACAAGAACCTTTGGGAATGGTTACTGAGGTAGGAAGGCAGGGAAAAGAATGGAAATACTATTTAATGGCTATTTATTTTGTGCCCGTCTCCACTTACATCAACTGACTCCATTTCCACACAAGGTAGAGAGTGTCTGCCCATCTGACAGAAGCGGGACCCAAGACTCAGATACCTTAGGAAACTTGCCAAGCTCACTGCCGAAGTCGAGCTCGGGGCTTGTCCCACCCCACCATACTGTCTTTTGTGGACCCTGCAGTGACTTAACTGGGGCATGGAGTGGTGTCCGCTGGAGTTTGGGTTAGGGCTGAGAAATGGTGACCCTGCCCCTCTCTCCTCTTTGACCTGCAGGTGACACCATACAACCCCCCACAGATGGGACAGCAGATGGGACAGCAGATCTTCCGCTCGTCCTACACCCCCCTGTTAAGCTACATCCCCTTCGTCCAGCCCAACTATCCATACCCGCAGAGGACACCTCAAAAGCTGTCCGCCAACCCCCGAGACCCTTCCCCCATGGCAGGAGATGGGCCGCAGTACCTCTTCCCCCAAGGATATGGGTGAGTCCTCAGCCCACACTGGGGGTCGGACTTGTATATAGGGAGTTGCTGGGATGGGGGCCAGTGGGGTGGGCTCCACAGAGCCTTTCTTGGTATGTGAGGACCTGGTGTGGGGAGGTGAGCAGAGTCTAGACTCTGTTTGGGAGTGTGGCCCTACAGTCCAGTGGCAATTGCCCAGGCAGAAGCCAATGAGCACCCTGCAGGTGGAGAGCTTGACCACATTCCCTACCCACTTGCTGAGTTTAAAAACAGGACGTGCCCAGGTGATTCTCTGGCTGTCCCTCCACGGGCTACACCCTAAGCCCCCACCAGCCTAATTCCCCCGCGCAAACATCCCATTGACTTCCAGGCGGCCCTGCTGAGGGGCCTTCACCTGCTTATCAGAGCTGCTCACGCTTTTCCACCACAGCCCCCAACAGCAGAGAGACTCATTTCCTGGGATAATCTGAGGGTTTAGCAGAAAACAGCCAACACTAACTCCATGTTTGAGCTGACAATTCCATTCAAGTTTAACATGCTGCTGAGTAACACATTTGTGTTTGTTTTAATATAATAATGACTAGCCACTCGTCGCAGCCTCCAAATCTTCAACTGATATTGACGCTCCCAAGAGACAGGCCGCGCTGTGTCATCCCCGTGGTCTCCCAGGCACACGATGGGGCATCTGTGCCCCAGTTTGAGAAATTCACTTAATAGGATTAGAATCCGACTCTGTGACCTGACATTGATTCCCATCCTCGCAGACCCTTCCCTGTAGTGTCCCTCCCACATTCCCCAACCACCCCCCCTTCTTTCAATCTGCATTTCCCCTGAATGTCTCCTTAAAAGGGATAAATGTTAGAAAGAGGTTTCTGTAGTCAGATCTGTTTGGGGAAAGCTGTGAGAAACAAAGATAAACAGATTTCTTAACTGTTGGAATTCTCAGATCATTTAATTTCCTAGGGTGCATGGGAAATGTTCAAGAAGGTGGTCGATAGTGTGGTTTGAACGTGATATCCACAGCCCCTTTTATCTCTTTCTTTCTCTCTTCCTCCCTCCCTCCCTCCCCACTTCCCGTCGTCGTCCTTCTTCTTGTAGAGCACCTCCTGGTGGGTTGCACCCAACACACCACCTCCCCTGTGCTGTGTTAATTCCTGGAGTTAATTTGAATTTAGCCTGCAGGGGACCCGCACAAGAATAGGAGAGACTTGAGAGAGTTGAGAACAGAAGAGACCTGAGCACAAGGATGTCAGTGCCCGGGCAACTTGGGAAGACCATCAAGGTGGCCTGAGGCCAAAGGCAGGAGCCCTGCAGGATGGGAGGTTCCGGTGCATTCCAGGCTGGAAGAGAGAGAACCCCCAGGCAGGAAGGAACAGGGCAAGCCCAAGGCCTGAGGATAAAGGCTGCTGGTGGTGGAAGTATTAGATTTGTTCCTGAAAAAGGTGGAAAACAGGATTAGAAAAGGGAGATTGGGGTTGGATTATTAAAGGCTTTTGGCTGCTTGGCCTGAGGATCCATGGAAGATGTGTGCACACCCGAGTGAATTGGCACCGCAGTGAACAAGACGCAAGGTGTTCTTCTCTCAAGGAGCTCACATTCTAGGGGAGGAGAGAGACAACAAGGAGATAAACACACCTGTGAAGTCAGGTGCCGGGGAGGAGGGGCCGGAGAATCAAGGGAGGTCTCTTGAGCTGAGATCTAAATGAGAGAATGAGCCATGCATAAATATGGGGAGCAGAAAGAATAGAGTGCAAAGGCTCCCAGATGGAACGTGTGGCTGGGTCCCAGTGAGAGCTGGAAGGGGTGTGTAGAATTGGAATCTGTAGGCCAGGGTCAGATGGACAGGATGTAGTGGGCATGGGCTGTTCTAACAACAGTGGGAAGCCAGGAAGACTTTTAAATGGGTGAGGACATGTTCTAAATTTCTGTATACAATAGAACACATTAGCCAACGTACGGACTCTGAGGGTGAGAAGTGGTGCAGGGGATCAGGTTAGGAGCCTTTTTCTGCTGTGCGGTGACCACAGGAAAGAGGGCGATTGAAAAGATCTGGGATGTTCATCTTCTTGGCAAAGTTGATGGGATTTGATGGTTGGATGTGGACTATGGAAAGGGAGGAATCTGGCATGATCTCTAGGTTCTGGACTTGTGTGCATGGATGAATGGCCACTGCAAGATGCAGAGGCCAACATGACTAAAGCAAGGATCTCTTTGGTCTTTAGCGGGGTGCTGTGACACACACCTGTGGATCCCAGCTACTGGGCAGGCTGAGGCAGGAGGATCTCAAGTCTGAGGCCAGCCTGGGTCAGCTTAGCAAGATCCTGTCTCAAAATTTTTAAAAAGAGAGAGAGAAAGAAAAGCGCCAGGTGGTAGGTGGTGGGGTACTAGGAATGGAGCTCATTGGTAGGTCTCTTGCCCGGCATGAGTGAGACTCTAGGTTCAATCCCAGTACTGCAGAGCTTGGTCTTGGACATGTGAACTTGGAGATGCATGTTAGATAATTGATGAACAGGTGGATATAGGAATCTAGAGCTCAGGGGCAGGTTGGGGCTGGGAATAAATGTGGGAGTCATTAGCATATTGATGATATTTCAAGAATGGGATGGAATGGAATGAAAGGGGGTGGGATGAGACGGCCAGGGAATGTATGTGTGTAGAGAAGCCCTTCAGGCCCAAGGACTGAGGATCCAGCAGGTGGAGGAAAGGCTGGAGATTGGAAGAACAAGCAGAGGATTTAAAAAAGATCCTCTAGTGAGGTGTGGGAGAAAGAGTAGGAGGCTCAGGAAGAGTCCCAGAAAGCAGGAAGCATTTCCTGGAGGAGAGTGTGGGAGGAGGAGTTTGCATACTTTTATCAGGACAGGACAGCTGCACAATTGGTCTCCCAAGCAGTAATGAACTTAAGAGTTAAAGGGGCATTAGTAATAATCACACTGGGGACAGCATTGTAGAGGCTGTCCCAGGCAAACCAGGGCACAGGATCAACCACACTTGAGAAGCCAGGCCAGCTGTTGCTGCTGCTCTTCCTCCTTTTCCTCCTCCTCCTCCAGGAAGCATTCCTTGATAGTCTAGTCCACACCATTGCTCCTCCTCCTGACCCTCTAGCATGCATCCATCCTGTCCAGCCCAAGTCCTTGGCAGTTTGTCTGATTGTAAGTTCTGAACCTGGAGAAGTAAGATGCATGGGGTGTGGCAATCAGAGACCACATGTGTCAGGAGTCGTGGTTACTGATCATCGTTATGGGTTACAACCTTCATTGTATCAATCAGAGTGGAATCCAAGGTATTCTTAAAATAACATCATTTTTTAATTAATTATGCTCCAATATGATTTTTGAAAGAGAGGAAAAGAGGTATGATTACCACTGGCATTAATTACGCATTAGGCACCTACCTTGTGCCAGGGGCTGGATACAAGGTGATCAGCCCAGATTCCTCTTCCATGGAACTTGTTTGAGTGAGAAGGGTATGAAACAAAGCTTAGCTGGTTCACAGATGCTCACAGTGAGCAACAGGTACCCTTACCGCAGAGGCATTATAAATTAATGCAGTGGTCTGTCTCTATCGCTTCTTCCCTCCCCTCCCCACCTCCCCTTTGATTGTTTCATCAATTCATGGGAGGGGTGCCTTGAATGTGAATCTCGTCTGAAATATGCATCTGCCCAACTGGAAAGTGGCTGAGAATCCCTGGATTAGATTAAATCTAGCCATTTGCTCTGCTGCAATTTGCAGTGAGCTCTGTTCCCATTATTCCCATCATTCAAAGTATCCTAGCAGATGGGTAAAGAAATTGCAATCAGATCCCAGAAGCATGAGTACATCATTCCCATCTGGAGAGGCCAGCAAGCTTCCCAGAGGAGGGGGCTTTAGAGCCCTATTTTGAAGTACGAATAGGAGTGTGTCTGGAGAGAAAGCAGAGGCGTGTGCGTCGCTGCTCTTACCAGGTGAGGCTGACAGCTTCTGTGCTCTTCCTTGAGGGTTTAGTAAAGACCCAGGCACCTGGCAAGCCTTGCTTCTCAGACTAGTCTTGAAATGGAGCAGCCCAACTCAGCGAAGTGAGCAGGGATGTTGTGCTGGGATTGTCTGGACTCTGAGATCTAATGCTAGGAACCTGCCCTGTGTTCTCTGATCTTCCTGAAAGCAGAGCTAGCCCCGTAAGGCAGTGGAGTGGTCACAGACACACACGTAAGGTGCTCAGAGAGGGATCCCAGCTCTGTGGTCCTGGCATGGGACGAGTGTAGGCTCCACAGAAGTAATCCTCAGAGGCTCCCAGGGTCTTCCTGGTCCAAGTTAGTGGCAGGAGAAGCGCTTTATTGTCCTCTAATTATGTCATTTTAATATTTTATTTCCCCAGAGTCAACACTTTTTTTTTATTATTATTATGCTAAAGCTTTCAGCCTGCAAGTCTGTCACGGTCTTCACAGTCTTTGACAGCCAAAAAATTAATATGTTCTTTTCTTTTTTCTAATCTCTCCAATAACATCCGGAATCTCATCATGGAATCCATCCTTCCTCTCTTTCAGGTTTGGCTCGACGTCTGGTGGGCCCCTGATGAACAGCCCCTATTTTTCCTCCAGTGGGAATGGCATAAATTTTTAGACTTCCTTCTCTTTTCCTTCTTCCCTGCTTAGCCCTTGGATCAGGGCTAAGGGCTCTGGAATTCTGGATTCTGCAACCACTTGGTATGAAGTTTGGAAAGCCAAGGTTCCGACCAGGTCACAGGCAGAAAACAGCAAGACCAGATGCATCTGTTGACCGGCACTCACACATAGCACACACCCTCTTGTTCATACCTGTTCAACCACACATGCACCCATATTTAGGTAACATGAGTGATTTTTTTTTTGTTTGTTTTTGTTGTTGTTGGTAAAAAAATAGAAGTAAGATACTTAATTTTAGAAAGTTTGTATTTTATGATAAAACTATGAGCTGCATGAATTGGCATGTGTCTCTTTATTTTTGTTACAATTTGCATAATCTTCACCCCTCATTTCCCCCTGTAAGACTCAACATTTCTTCAGGACCTGAAAAGAGACCAGGGGCTGGAGTCTTCCCAGTGCTGCTCTCTCAGGGATGGCAAGTTTGAGGGCTTCTCTCTTTTCCTCTGGGATCCACTCATTTCCCAACAACCCAGTTTATGCATCTTAAGAATAGACATCATAAAAGGAATATGTCCAATTTCTCTTCCAAGTTCCCTTAGAACTAATGCCTCTCCTTTTCTTCATGGTCTCTCTTGGACACAAGATGGGAAAATGTGTCCTGGAAAATAATGTCAAAATAAATCCTAAATGCCATCTGTATCCAGTGATTGGACTTCAGTGCCAACCTCCAGGTTAATCTCACACCATACCTAACACAGCACTCTCCTTGGATAACAGCTCTTATGCGTGACTTCAAAAATGATATTGAGGGCATCCTGATCATGTTGGTGGAGGGCACCAATCCAGGAAGAGGAGAGAAAATGAATCGGTGATAGCACATGTTCTTTAACTCTGAGTGTACACCAGTGGCAGGCATCGCTAATCAATGGTGGCATTCTGTTCCCCTGAGCCTGGACAGAGCCACAGATCCGTTCTCCTCATGGTGCTCCAGGCAGCCATCACTCACCAGACTTGAAATAGAGCCTATGTGTTGTGCTTCCACAAACTCTAACAAGAGGAAATGAATCAGGGGTTGATGTAAGGATGCACAACCCTGATAGTGAGCCCCACAATGAGAGCCAGTTCTGAGCTCTTGTCCTGATGCCAGCGAGAGCCTGGGAACTGAAGACACCAGTCTCTTGGGATGAGCTCAGCCAGTGTCCACACAGTGTTTCTCTTGACCTCATGGTGTGGTACCATTGTCTTCATTGGCCTTTCTTTCTGGATCCCTGGAAACCAATTTCTCTCCCAAGTCCCCTAGGACTACATTCTTCTCCCTTTCTCCATGGTCTAGGTTTGGGATTCTCCATGAGCCCTCCAGCCACTACTTCTAGAATTTCTGATATCCTTGATTAACAGTCTGCCCCTTAGGGTGTCCTCAAATTCTATGTCCAGGGTATTGATCCAGGCTGGCTCTAGTTTGCCACCCTCCCTTGATCTCAGCATGTCAGGAGGCAGGAGAGTGTGAGAACACGGGTTTGCCCTTGGCAAGATCTGGTTTCACTTTCCAATTTTGACCTTGGAGAGAACTTAACCCCTCTGAACCTCAGTTCTGTTCATGGCAATGCAAGAGTTGCAGACTCGGTGTCGACTGGATGTCTACTTCATTCAGATTTGTGTTTAAGAAAGGAAAGATGGCTCTGTTCTTCTTCTCTTGAAACTCGCTCCCAAATAAGAAGGAGAACAAGACAACCTGTATAAACTCCATCCTCAACCTGGAAGAAGCCAGCAATCCTGTCCCATATACAAAGGCAGAAATGGGATGGAGGGATGGTAAGTGCCTGAGCAGAACAGAGGAAGGTCAAGTGAAAGTGAAAATGTCTGCCAAAGGAAATATCAACAAGAAGCAAGCCAAGGTTCCCTGCAGAGCTCTGAAGGTCTCAGGATCTGGAGGTGCCAGGTGCTGGACTTGGGAGGTGGGGCTGGAGACAATGAAAGCAAAGGGTTGATGTAATAAGTAGCTCCTGACCCCACAAAGTCAAGGGCCACAGAAAGCTCCATAGAGAGCAGAAGGAAGTTTTTCTAGAGAAACTTTTAGACTATGCATAAAGATTGTGGAAATTAGTGCCCAGGTGAAAAATGGGGTTTAAGTGAAACATGCATATAAACACTCCAATGGCAACATCTATGTTCTAATCAAGAGCAGGAGTTTGGAGAATCCTCTGGAGAAACTGAGTTGCCCCAAAGACCATTGAAGGGACCAACAGAAGTTAACCTACAACTAACAACCTTTTATAGGACCTGATGCTTAACAAGAATGGTCAGTCTCCCAACAAGAAAGAAAGAGATCAAAGCAAAACTCGAAAGGAACTAAGGAAAGCATAATAGAAGACAAGAGTGTTTAAAATAGAAGTACAATGTTCTACATGTGTATTGTTTAAAAATAGTTTTTGGAAGAGTTTTTGGAAATCAAAACAGTGATAATTGATTTAATTTTTTCAGGAATGGGCTGAAAGTTGACATTGGAGAAACTTGTGAAAAAGAATAAAAAATGACACAGGATGCATCATAGGAACTAAAAGATAGCAAAAAAGGGAGAATAAATCAAGAAGATCCAACATCTAATAGGAGTTCTAGGCTGCAGAGTGAAAACAGAGAAGCAGATATTGATTAAAATTTCTAGGAAAGTTCCCAAGTTGAATGGTCCAATCTAGTGATCAACAAAATTAATGAAGAAGACCATAAGAACTTCCAGAATATCAGAGACAAAGACATGATTCTACAATTTTCATAAAGACTTTGAACATGCAAATGCCCAAGAGTTAGAATGGTATCAGATCTATCAACAGTAACTTTGGAACCTAGAAGATCTTGGGATGAACATGTCAGAACTTTAAAAATTTGAGTGGAAATGATTTCATTTGTTTTTAATACTGGGAATTGAACCTGAGAGTGCTCTACCACTGAGCCTCATTTCCAGCCCTTTTTATTTTCAGACAGGGGCTCACTAAGTTGTTAAGGGTGGCCACAACTTGCAATCCTCAACCTCCAGAGTCACTGGAATTACACTACGCTTGGCATCAACCTAGAATTCTAGACCCAAACTTTTTTTTTTCTAGTGAATAATAACCACAAGATATTTCTTCAAGTTCAAGACCTGATGATGGTGTTTGTTTGTTTGTTTGTTTTTTAAATTCTTAGAGGATCTAGTGTGTTAAATCAGGAAACCAGCATTGAGACTTGTAAGAAAAGTGAAGAGCTTCTTTTTTTTTAAAATTTTAATCTTTATTTTTTAAACATCAGAAATTTATTAGTTGCTCAAAACATTACATTGATCTTGACATATCATATATCATACATTTGTTTCAAATGGGGTATGAATTCTTATTATTCCCACGTGTACAGATTGCAGGATCACATTGATTATTAGCCACTAAACCCAAACTCTTAATGATAAAGGCAAAATGAAAATGTTTTCAGATATGTAAAGTCTCAAAATAAGTATCTTCTTGTGAAAGCTAAGGAAGTGTGTGCTCTACGAAGACTAGGGGGTAAACCAAGAAAAAAGACAAAGGTATCCAAAGCAAGAGAGAAGACCAGGAGACTCCTGGGTAAGAAGGAGGAAAAAGGAAGGTCTTAGCTTAAGGGACATGAAGCAGAGCTCTTTGGGACAAGCACCACCACCAGTACTTATTGAAATAGGGAGTTAACCACCTCTAGAAAAGAGACATGTCGGTGTGGGGCTGGAGAAAAGGAAAATGGTAGATTTTTCAGAGTTGATTCTGGAAAATTGTATTGCGAGTCCATTTAGCGGTTGGTGGGAGTGGAAAGATTTAGCTATACATTCAAATAAAAAACGAAACAATTGTTATTAACTCGGCAGTGAACAATATTTACAAGCCATAATAACGAAAAGTTCAAATGTGGACTTAAACAAGATTGGTGATATAACCGTGGTGGGAAGAGGGAGGTGGAAAGAAGGGCGAGAATGGAGCCGAAGTCCTCATTTATCACCGGAGGCCAGGAGGCAATAATCTGAAATGAATGATTCAAGAGACAATGGAATTTGCATAATCATTTAGAAATCTGGAGGTGAACCCCAGAATAGAGAGCTAAGAGGGCTAAAGGGTTTGCCTATGAGAAGCAGGATGGGTTTGTGGGGGGAATGATGGTCCAGCGCTTGCTGCCTCCTTTTTGAGTCTTCTGCCACTATTTGGCTTTTAAACCATGTGCCTGTGTTACTTTAATAAAAATAAGCATTTATTTTAAAAAGAAAAATTGCCTGTGGAACATATCTAGCATAATGCTTGGCACATGGTGGGTGTCAAAAATGCTTGTTGAATTGGATTGAGCTTCCCCGACACAGCCAGAGCCCAGGGCCCAGCCAGCCCTTCTCCCAGACTGGCTAAGAACTGGATTCTCTAAAACTGCTATGGTATTTTTCTTTTCTTAAGAAATTCTAGAAGGGAATAATTAAGAGGGGGGGGGGCTAGTGTCAATGCCCAACACCTTTCCAACACACTGTACTCTCCAACTCTGTTCACCTCTCAAGGAATCTCAGAAAGAGCTGGGAAGTAGCGGGAAGAGGCACCCTGAACACTTTTCCTGATTCAGGATCATGAGATTTGGGTGAGGTTGCAAACTCCAAGCTCCTCTGTGTTCCTACCAACCCATCCCTGTCCCCTATCTCATCCATTCAGCATATATTCTTGAACACTTATTTTCTGGGATACATCTGGGCAAGACAGATACAGTGTCCCCATGACTTCCTACGTATGGCCATTAAATTATAGTTACTGTGCAAGGTGATGAGGTTTTCAAGGGAACATACCTAGGAGCTCTGAGAACACCTATGAGGGCCAGCAACCCTGTTCAGTGACATCTACTCTTTTAACATTCCTGATCCCTGCATCTAATTCTCCTGTGGTCTGTTTTCGAGTCATAGTTCTACAGTCTCCTTCCTTAACACAATTCTATTTGCAAATCTTAAAACGAATGCTAGCCCTATGTGGTTCAAGCAAGAAAGCTGAGAAATAGTGTGTTTTTGTGACTCTCAGAAACTCTTCATTAAATAGGAACAGCTACTAATCATGGAGCACTTACAATGGTGCAGGCCCAGTACTGCATACATCACCTTTATTATCTAATGTTTGTAATAAACTGTGAAATATACATTGTGTATGCAGAAACTAAGGTTCAGAGTGATTAAGTTATCCTATTTAAGATCACCTGGTGACTCAAACTCAATATTCTCACTGGCTTTTCCTCCTGCCTCCCTCTTTCCAGTAACATAGCACAGATCTTTGTTGGAACGTACATCATCTGGTTAATGGCTATTAAGTTTTCAGACAACTAATACTTC